AGCATTTACTAGAGGGAAGAAAGTCAAACCAGATGTAATGGGAATCCTCATCTGCTTCCACTAAAACTGAAACAGAATCTAGTTTTGATGTTAATTTGAATAGCAGCCTGTGAACCAAATTTCAGATTTTTAAAACAATGGCAAAATGCTAAATTTGAGGTCTGGATAATTTGATATCTGAATTCTGCTTCTCCTCTCACAATTGCACACCCAATGAAGAAGAGTTAAATGTTCTTATTTAACACATATACATATGTAATTGTACTTTTGCAATAACTCTATAGGTTTTGCTTCTTTGTTTCTATGAGGGCTATTTAATTTTGGATAAAGACATATTATGTCTGATAAACAAATTTTGTTTCTAAAGCCTACTGCTTTCTACAAAGTAATAACACATAACAGAGTCCCTTTTTTTTCAGCTTGTAATATTTACCAACACATTTTAATGTATGATTAGATCCCGTGTGGTCTTTTTAAAAATCTAGGCTAATAAACCTCCCCCCCCCCCAATCTTTTGCTGTGGACACAAATTCTGGGTTACATTAAATTAACTTATCTTTGCAGGTTGCCTTCAAAGTAGTCCACATGTAATCAGTTCTGTTTCCTTGTACAGTTCCTCTTGCTTCCCTGCTCCACCACAGGTCTCTTAATATGTCCACTCTCAGGGCCTTTTTCCACCTCTTTCCAGCTGAGTAAGGCTTGAAGTTGGGTGGAACTCCACTGTAACCTAACTGGTATTCTACTACAATACCGGCGCAGATGCTTCTCTGTGGCTCATTAGCTGGTACCTAAAGCTCTGATCCTGTGTGCGCACGGTGTCCCATTTCTTGACTTGAAATTCAATGACCATGAGGTAGGGTTTGTCAGAGGCCATCAGTATTGCTACATCTGGTAGAACATCTGATTATCTTTAGCTGAGAGACTGCAGGCATTCAGGGATGCCTTCTGCAGAAACAAACACTGACGTTATTAACACCAGACCTATGGAATACAGAGCCAAGGCTAAAGCTCATGCTGGAGTAGATTATAATAAAAAAACCAGACAAAAACCCAAACAAAAACCCCAACCCCCCCAACCAAACAATAGTCTTTGCTCTCCTTTTGTTTGTTTCAAAATGTGAGTAGGCTGGTTTTGTACTTTCAATTATATTATCCCATAATGCAAAATCCTTTCCTGTGCGTTCTCTTTCTGTTTTTAATCTTTAACTTCTATATCTTTCTCCCTTTTTCTCTAGTTCATATGTTCTTTTTCTCTAACTATTGTATTTGCCCAAATACAGAACAAGCCTGCATAGCAGGCAGCCTCTTGCCTTCCCACGGTCTAGCCTCACACCCTCACTTCCCAAGTCTGATCTGCCTGAGTCTGCTTTGCATTTCTAGATAGACGGGAGTTGGGTCCTGCTCAGGTGAACAACTCCAGATGCTCTGTAGAAAGCGGGGAGCCACTGACCATACCCTATGGGAGATGGTGTCTCCTGTTGCTTGCAGCAAATTCAGTGGCACTCAGGAGCTGCTGCTTCCAGAGGCACAAGCAAGATACTGAGTGTTCCCAAGCTGGATGGGAGTATCTGGTGAAGTTTGCAGCACCCGGTCTTGAGCCTGAATGTTAAGTGACATTCACACAGAGAGGTTGCTTTCTAAGCTAAATGACTTGAAAAGCCTAGTTGTACACAGGAGTATGGATACCTCAATAAAAACAAGTGACAGAGATCACAGGGTGAAGTGAAAGCTCGATAAAATATTTCAGGCTGCCTGCACAGTAAAGGGATGCGCGTATGCTGTTCCTGCTAGAAAAGAAGCTAACATCACATAAATCCAACATTTCTTTTTGCTTGCCTTAAATCAATGGGCTTGTGGTGCTATTCCTTAGAGTCAACAAACATGCCAGGAAAAATCTGTTTCCAAGCTGACTGCCCTTTCTCAGAACTGCCTGTAAGCGCCAGGGAGGATGGAAAGTGGGCTGCTGGGCTGCAGAGGTGCTTAAGGGAGGAGTTTGCTAGCAAAAGAGAATTGCAGAGTTTGAAGCATGGAGAGGCCTTCAGCTTTCCTAGAGTTCTTGCTAAAAATGTCTAATTCATTTAATGAGAAAAGCAATATCCTAAACCAAACAATCTAATCATCTTGTCTCTCCTCCTCTCCCAGTCATTTTTAATATAATGATGGAGACTGTGAGCACAATGTATTCTTATCCTGATGCTTTTTGCTTTAATGCTGGGTTGAAATACTGCTCTAAGGAAAGAAGAAAATATATGTCATTTGTGAACAAAGGCAATGCACGACTGAGATGGCCACACAAAGGTGCTACATTTTTGTAGTCTCAAGGAACTTCACAGAAACATTCTTTAATCTAGGAAAATGCTTTTACATAGTTAGCGAAACAGTCTTACTAGCAAGCTACTCTCCAAGGATCTCAGGTAACAACTAGAAGGTTTTTATATACACATACACAGCCTATATTCTGCCATAAGCGCTACAGAGAAACCTTGTGATTTTTACCTTGCTGCCACATTGTATAGTGCTTTACGGGAAAACCTTGGTAAGGAAGATGTACTTGAGAAATAGGCTTTCCCACCAGTGCCTGTCTGTCCCAAACATCTTCCTTCCTTACTGTAGCGTGTTCTCCTGCGTAGGAAAGCTGCTCAGAAATAGTTGCAAGTTTGTTCATCTTTACAGTAACGGAAGTCCTAATAAGAAGACACACCATCATTGCACACTGAACTTTGGAGATCAGCTCCTGGATCTGGTTTAGCCTATCCATGCATCTGCAGCCATGCTGATGGGCTCACCCAAGTTGTAGTGGCCCCATTATTTCTGTACTTGCCTTATATACTGCTGTGACTTCTGAGGGAAGGTGACACATGCTTATATGATCATCTCAGCTAACGCATTAGGGTGTTGATGATGCAGAAGTTTACTCTCATGAAGGGACTTATAGGGGCAGGATCTTTCTGCTGAGTTGAGAGATCCCAGAAAATCAAAGGCAGATCCTTTAAATCAGAGAAGGTATTAATACATTGTAGAATTCCACAGTGATGGGGTGGAAGAGAAGTGAGAAAATTGTGTGTTTATAGGAAGACCCTTGCAAAAAGAAGTTGCACCCCTTATTTTGTGAAAAAAATGGTATGCAAAATACTCAAAGCACATGCGTTGGATTTTTTAAGCCTTCTTTGACTTCTGTAAATTGCATTGCAAAGTAGTCTCCACTGTGCAGGTAATATCCCAACTTGAACAAAAGTTTGTTGGCCAAGGGGAAATGTCAAAATCCTGCAAACACATCATGCATCTGAAATGAATCCCAAAGTAGAAGAGATTAAATGCTGATATAAAAAAAAAAAAAAAAAAAAGAGGTACTGGAGAAGTGGCAAATGGATGGATATGAAGGCTAAACCCTACATATCAAAGATAAAGGGAGTATAAATCCACTAAGATAGGATCAGAGAAACATTGGAGGAACAACTTGATATTCAGAGAATATGAAGTCTATCATTTTGGGTGAAATCTGTCCATGAAGAAGAGCCACCAGATCAATACCTGGCTCTGAGCCTGGTGTCACCAGCAGAATTTTGGTTTTTTTGATCGTGGGTCAATTTACACGACACCAGGCCTGCTGGCAACAGACAGGGTACACCTGTCTCAAAGGGGGAAAAGGATCTTTGCACAGGAGTTAGCAGGGCTCAGTGAAAGAGCTTTAAACTAGATTTGAAGGGGGAAGGGATAAAACCAAGTTTGCCCTGGGGTGAACACACTTGTCTAGAGACAAGCCTGGGGGCAGCATGCCAGTGTTTGAGGGATGGTGTGCTAGCAAGGTCCTTTGGTCTGCTGTCTCAGTGGAGGTAAGGGATGGAGGCCCATGCGGCAGCAAAGACGCAAGGGTTATTGATGTGTTAGAAAACACAGAAGTGCCTGAGAATGGTCATGTAGGAATCAGGGCTTCTGCCCCACAAAAAGGTGGTGGGATCAGTAGCCCAACTGAAGTGCATCTACACCAGTGCACACAGCATAGGCAACAAACGGGAGGAGCTGGAAGCCATTGTGCAGCAGGAAAACTATGATATGGTTGCCATCACGGAAACATGGTGGGATGACTCGCACAACTGGAGTGCTGCAATGGATGGCCATAAACTCTTCCGAAGGGATAGGCAAGGAAGGAGAGGCAGGGGAGTAGCGCTGTATGTTAGGGAGTGTTTTGATCATCTAGAGTCTAATGATGGTGATGACAGGGAGGCTGAGGGGAGACTTTATCACTCTCTACAACTACCTGAAAGAAGGTTGTAGCTAGGTGGGTGTTGGTCTCTTCTCCCACGTAACAAGTGAAAGGACGAGAGGAAATGGCTTCAAGTTGCACCAGGGGAGGTTTAGATTGGATATTAGGAAACATTTCTTCACCAAAAGGGTTATCAAGCATTGGAACAGGCTGCTCAGGGAACTGGTTGAGTCACCATCCCTGGAGGTGTTCAAAGGACATGTAGATGTGGTGCTTAGGGACATGGTTTAGTGGTGGACTTGGTAGTGTGAGGTTAACAGTTGGACTCGATGATCTTAAGGGTCTTTTCCAACCTGAATGATTCTATGATTCTATTCTAAGATTCCATGATATTGGCTTACTATTCCTATGGAATTACACACAAGAGAAATGTCTTAATCTAAGTCCTTAAAGCAAAGATATTGCTGAACTGATGTGAGGCAGTACACACTGGCACTGATTTACCTGGACCGCTACCAGAACTACAGTCTTCACATTTTTAGGTCTTGGAATAAAATCCTACTTCATATCTCTGCCAGTATGTGCCAACATATTTTTGTCCTGTGCCTAGCTGTGTCTGGCTGTCACTACCAGCTTCGTTTATCAAGCACTTAAGTGTTCTACAAACAAAAAATAAAAAAAGCGGTATAATAGCTAGTTATTTTTCTTATTAATAATATGTTAGATCAGTTATAGCAAAAACTCAATGTTTATTGAACTGAAGGAACTGCATGACTGTAAATAGTTAAACACTTACTTCTTTCACAAACCACTGGCAAAAGGCAGGGCCAATCCACTCTCTTGCATGTATCCCACAGTCTATCCAGACAGCTTTCTTGTAGGGCCGTGATCTTTTACCTAACTTGAAGTGTGAATATTCATAGAAATATCAATAGGTCTCATGACATTAGTGAAACACAATAATGAGAAAATACTACAATGTTAGAAACACTAAACCATTTTGAATTTCCTCGTATAAAGGAACATGAATTTATTGTTTTCAAAGGTGCGGCCAAGATAATGATACGCAGGTATGCCAAAATAATGAAGCTGACCTATGGGAAAAAAATTACAGGAAAAGTGAGATCTGTCGATTTCTCTTTTATGAGGAATGATATCCTTAAATATCACATGGAGCAGGGTGAGGAAAAACAATGCTACATGAATAGCCTGATGCAGAATCAAAGTTTCAGAACTCTGCAACAGCAGGTGAAAAGAAAGTACAATAAAAGTAAAATTTTTTTTGCATCTTGCCGACACCCTCTAATTTGTGGTCCTAATAATGTGAGTTGAGAGTGCACAGCCCTGGAATTTTGTCAGTAGCTAAGGAGGAAGCATATGTGGCACGTGCTGAGAAGGACTCCAGAGTCCTCTGGGGCCCTTCTCCAGCACAACTGCTTTCCAAGTTGTCTGTAAACACAAAACTTTCCAATTCCCTTAAATCCAAATCCTGCTAATTGAACTTGTCCAGTAATCTATCTTCATGCATATCCAATCCAAGTAAACAGGATTTGGCTTTTAGTTTTCCAGCTTTTTTTTTTTTTTCTTCATTAAAGATGACATTGAGAGAGATACTTAGATCTTAGCAACTCATCCTTAGGAAACACTGTTAACCTGCGTCTCCAGTGTACATGCTATAACATAAGTAACAAAGTGTCTGTCCCCAATTCCAGATTTTAGTCTGATTAGTGACTATTTAATCTTTACCTTGAGTACAAACAGTGGTCTCCCTTCATAGGATGTTCCAACAGAGAACATGTGAACAAGATCTGAATGAGTTTTATTCAGATGATGCATCCAAGCCTGGATCTGCAAATACAGAAATAAAATTGTCGCTTCAATCTTTGTACTTCATGGGAAACAACTGTAACACATTTATTAATCTCAGCTCTCAGTCCTCTTTATGTTTTTGGATTTTCCTGTAGTTTTTTCTTTTTATGCCTTTTTTTTTTTTTTTTGTTGGTTTGTTTTCACACTTTAATCATCATTGGGCTCTCATAGTTCTATTGCCAGTGGCTGGATGCAGCCTTCAGTCACATGGGATTTTTTTTCCCATTTTAATGTTGGCCACTACTGGAATGCATTAGCTGTCCATCGAAAATCTGGGGATGGGGCTAATCTGTCATTCCCACTAAATATTAATGGAATGAAGAAAGAAGGTCTCTCAGTCTGCCTGTCAGGATACAGAATGGCGAACAGATTGACCTGCAGGATTGAATGCTACCTGCAATATTTTTTTCACAGGCACCAGATCTTGTTGAGGTGCAGCACCCTCCATGCTCAACCTTGTGACTTTGTTTTGGTGCAGTTTGAAACCATGTATGTGAGCACACCGAAATCAGCAGAAATTATTTACCCCATTATCATCCAGGATAGTATCCCTTATACATAAATTTGTATCTAAGTGTTTTTAAGTCTTTGGGCCTCTTGTGCAAATACTTAAGCATTTGCTCACGTTGCTTACTTAAGTGACTCGGTGAGACTAATCACTCACTGAAATCTCTTATTCCATCAGAGTAAAAGACCTACTTTAAAAACAAAACTCAGAAGCTGTCAAAAATAGTTACATGTAAAGATAAGCCTTGAATATAAATATTAAAAAATATGTGTTTTCAAGAAGGTGCCTATTATTGAAGAAGAAACATTCAGAACAGTGCTGAAGATGAACAGGTAACCATAACTTGTACAGAGAGTGAAATCTTAGCCTTATTAAAAACAACAGTGTAGCGGATAAGAGGAACAATATGAATTTTCACGTACTTCTTCCAGGGAGTGATACACTTCGTAGTTATACCCAGAGACGGACCTTCGATTCCTATATGACCTCAGCCCAGTTTGGTTTTCTATTGCTTTCTGTAGGTCTGATATGAGAATCCTAGGTAAAAAAAGACAGCGGTATTGCTGAAAAACTGATAGAACACACAGGCTAAAGCAGAACAACAATCATCACATTTAGAAGTAGTACAGCAGGAGTTAAACCATCCCGACGTTATTTCTTGACAATAGAGTGCTTCAGGCTTATTTGAATATATGCTGCCAGATAAATACTCCAGCTGCTTTGAAATGTAACAGTGCCTTTAAAAAACACAATGAGCTTGTTAAGTGAATAACACAGAATGATGTAAATAAGGTAGCCAATGTGAAGAAGAAGCCACTTTCACTTGTTTATGGAGTAGCATTTGCTGTCTTCTTTTATAATCCCGTTATACTACATGATCATGGATCTTCAAAAACTGATTTCAAAACCATAAAAAAAAAAAATCTCCTTTTAGGCTTAGAAAAACATGCACATACTTTCTCTTGGGAGTTATTGTACCAGCGTGGAACTTTACTTATACCTACAAGTTGTAGAGGCAAAGCAAAAAAATGAAGAACTTGGTGGCATTATCTTTCTGTCTGAAACACAACAAACAACAAACAAACAAAAAATCTTGTGTGGTTTGTTGTTTACATCATCTACTCTGCAACAGTTGTTGCCAATTATTTTAAAATAACTCAGGACAAACATGAAACAATACTAAGTGAAAATTAAATATGCTTGCATAAAAAGTGAGAGGTTCTTTGCAGTAAGAGCAAAATGCAGAAACAGTGGTATAAGCTTAAAAGTTTCCCGTTTTATGGCAAAACCAAATAATGATATGAATATAAAAATATAATACAGAAAACATCTAAAAAGAATTATATTGAAGAAGTTGGAGCATCTATGCTCTTTCCATCACACCATGGCAGGAGCTGGGAATATTGTCACTGACATCAGTAAAAATGTCACTGTAAAACTGAGAGTCATCCTTGTATACCACCTTCTCCTAAAGCATGGCAATGTGTAATCACCATACCACTAATTCATCATTCCTGTAAAACAATGGTCACATTCAACCTTTTGAATCATTGCATTAGCTGAAATGATTGGAAAAAGATGGAAAGAAACTGCATTCACTCTGATCCTAACTCAACTGTGCAGCAGATACCTCAAAGATAATAGGTCTATCTACATATGATATCAAAGTAAAGGTTATCCTCATCTTCAAATGTATTAGTGAAGTAACTGTATAATTAGGAATTACATTGTTCTACACCAGCAGCTTTCATTAAGCAAACTAAGGGCTGATAGTCTTGACTTGCAAATTGCTGTACACTCCAAGACCAGTACTGTAAAGCATTTAAGCCTGTAGTTAGATTAAAGCAGTGGTTTTATTCAAGTCATTAGGACATCTGATATGTTAAAAAAATACTTGCCTGCTTTGCTGAATTCTGATTAGTGTAAGTACCTTCCAGGATCAGGCTCTCTTTGTTCACTTTTACAATAATAAATTTAACTTCACAACTCCTGATTGTTTATGTGTCTCTACTCCAAATGAGATTTGATAATCTTTCTTTACGCTTAAATGACTGTGTACTCTGTGTGCTTATAACACAAAGGCTCTTAAGTCCCTGAGGTCTGAATACAACCTAAGTGGCTTGGTTGTCAGAGAACTTACAACTGAGGCAATTTGGTGCAGTAAGAGTTTATCTGATGCCTAGCTTGTTTTCATGACCGTCTTCTCATCATAAAGTCAAACACTGGGACAGATAAGCCTGTCTTATAGGCAAGGGCTGGTCACCTTGCTCATTATTAGGGCTGCTTAATGCTTCCTGTCTTTCGAAATTTGTCATAATTTAGGCAAGCATCACTCTGTCCGGCTGAAGTTTTACATGGTGTTTGCCTCAGATTTTCCAGTTCCAAAAGGGATGTAGCAATAGTTGCAAATGGTGCCTCAAAAATGAAATAAAACAAAAATATTGTGAAAAACAGCCATGAGAAAAGGGTCTGCATGAAACCTTGCCTGGCACCTCAGCCCCTGGGCTGTGGAGCCGCGCTTCAGCTCAGGGCTGTGGTCCCCAGCCCAGCTGCGCCGTGGGCACGGCTGTGCCTGGCCGCCCCGCTCCTGCCGCTTCCCGACTATAGCTGTTGCTGCTCTCGTGGCGAGTCCTGCTGGCTCTTGTGGAGTTACAGATGTCAGGAGGCTTGTCAGGACAAAGCGCATGTTCGTCTGAGGCTTTGCAGGGTTTTGCTTCTGATGGCTGGGACCCAGCGGACAAGGATTCCAAAACAGGCAGTGAGGAGATGAAGAGCGAGAGCAAAGAAACAGTCTGGAGCTGACAAAATGCTGCCCAGCTTCCTTCTAAGTGCACACAACTTGTGCGTCAAATGCCAAAGAGGAAATTTTCCCTGTGGAAAATTAATGTAATGTTGTCCTAGTATTTGTAACACGTTGTTTCAGGTAGACTGCAGAAACCCTTCACTCCTGCAGTTCTTGCCCTTGCACACTCTGCTCTGCAAAGTAAGTAAAGGTCTTCAAGTACAGGGAGTGTTTATAACACATATAAAATGGCCTTCTGTCATTTCATTAAAGGTGATTACTGTGAGCAGGAACAGCAGCAGACGTGAATACAACTGCCGGGGCACAGTAATTAGGGGATATTTTTTGTATAAGCACAGGATAACAATTACAGAAATCCCAATCTCATTTTTAAACACAAACAAAACTGAAGCAGCGTTGAACCCACATGAAAGTCACTCTGAACTTCAGCCACCGGGCCTGCGTAATTAATTTCCTTATGTTTGTTTTTGTATTTTTAGAACGAAAAATTAATAAGAGACCATTGTTATAATAAGAATGGAATTTTGATAAGAGTACATATAATACACAGTTTGATTTGTGCCATCCTTTTCTGACTGAGAAGTAAGTATAAACAGCCTCACATAGAGCTTTATTCAGCAAAAGTTTCAGAATTCAAATAACTCATTAGTTGATTATTCAGACACTTAGGCATCTCACTGAAAAGGCTTTAACGACAACAACATTATTCTTGTCTAGTATATCATATTGATAAATATGAAATGATAAGTATACTCTGTCTTGAATGCTTTTAAGGAACGCTATAAATGATATGTGATCCTTAGCTTGTATTTGTTCTGTTTGACTTGCGTCGGGTCACGAGGAATGGAAAGTTATAAAAGAGAACTAGTACATTCCTTTATAATTCATGAGGAAGGCTTGCCTCTGTGTTTGCAGCACACTTGTAAACAAACCTAGCTCCTGTTAAATACAGAGGCAAAGCAGGCTGTAGAATTAGTAATTACCATCCCTCCCTTAACAGATATGATTTCATATACATTGAAAACACTTCAGCTTGACTCCAAAGGAGGACATTTAATTAAAACTGCCTGCCTGTGGGAGATTTTCTGTTCTCCCATTAAAATGGTTGTTTTCTTGGCAATGTCTAGCTGTCTGCCAGTCTAATTGCTATGATGTGGAACGTATTTTTCAAGTGCACTTGGTGTGGCAGATGCAGACCTGCCTTAGAGGCCAGATCTCCGGAGCGAGGCAGAGAAAAGTGAAGCACAGGCTTACGTGTACTGGATGTTTGCTTGCTGGAGGTAGGGCAGCAGACTTCGGGATGTGTTCTGGGGTACTCGCACGTCGGTGACCATACCTTCAACGATGTGGAAGGGGCTGCTGGGCTGCCACAGGTCCACCTGTAGTGCAGGAACCAACCTGTAATTCATATGCATTCAGTGTAGGTGGGGAAATCCAGGAGACGGGACGCTTGAAGCTATGTAGGCAAGCACTCTAGGCATGGTATAGACAATAAAAATCTATTGGCTGGTCCAGCTCTATGCTAATGGAGAAGATTTTGAGGAATGATTGCATCCAGCTTACCACAACTCTCATGGGAGATTTGCCAATGGGAAGAGAGAAGGGTCTCAGGAATGTGCCTCCTGAAACAGCTCGAAACAAAAGCTACCTCCAACTTCAAGCGCCTCATCAGACTACCATACATTCCCTATTTATTAGCTCCTACGGAATCCGTGAGTCTTTTATTTCACAAGGTATTTTCTATGTTCACTAAGGCAGCAAAAGAGAAGAACGCTCAAGAGAGGTAGAAAACATAGCATATACCAGTGTTGTTTGCAAAGTGTACCCAAGTTTTTATCTTGACAATAAGCAGATCAGAGGTCAGTAACAGAAGGTCACCAATACTATGAAGGAAGCTGTGATCTACCCAATGATTTTACATGAGACACCAAAATAACAGGATTAAGATAATAAAATGATTACAAACTTGTAAAAAACGATAGCTACTAAATGATACCACATTATTAATGTGATATCTATATCTGCGCACACCTAAGGGATGCTTCTTGTCCATTTTTACTTTCTTTTGTTGCCAAATCTGAAATACACTTGGAACTTTAGCCCAGAACATGAATTTTCAAGAAAGCAACAGGGATTTGAAACTCAATGTTCTGCACCTGGTAGCAAAATGGTTTTGTGCTACTCAGCTGCACCAACAACAGATGCACATACTCTCCAACAGAGGTGAGAACAGTTCCTCCTCTGCCAGTGTGAGGACAGTGGCGAGAACACAAGTCAACAAACCTCTTCCCAGAGCTCCTGGGTAGTCACAGGAGACTATGGAAAGGAGTTTCAACAACAGCCTCTGTGTCAATGTGACAAATATACATGTCAAGTTCCACAGGCCTTAAAAATATGTTATGTTTGTGAGCTGAATACAAAGAGGGGAACTGATAGGGACTACCATGTCCACACATTTCTTAAAGAGAATTTAAAAAGAATTAATACTTGATAAACATCTTTTGAAGTCTACTGCAATCAGCTGTGCCAGGCTGCATTGATAAAAGTCATGGACAGAGCTCATGAGTGTCCCTTGCCTTACTTGCTTTCCAGGTTTCTAAGGTTTTTATAATTTATATTTTAAAAGCTCCTGACTTCTATGCCATACAAGCAATTTTGGAAATATCTAATGCATTTCACCTTGACATGAACCTTGTTTGAGAAGACAACAGGGGTTTAGTTCCCACCATTTCTCAAATGGCCCCAAATAAGAATATTCCGATTACCAAGAAGGCATCTGACGCTGAACCTGATGCCACTCCTTCAAGCAGTAGCAACTTCAGTCCAGTTAATCCAATTAAATGCCTGCTACTTTGGAAGGAGAAAAACTGAAACACAGGGGCAGCCTTTTCTATTCCTGCCAAAACCACTCTTTGTTTCATGCTGCCACAATATGGTCTATGGATCTGTGTGATAGTGGTGAGTGGGCACAGCATCTTTTGAAGTCTAACACCGGGACTGGCAAAGTTCACAAGGCCTGTGAAGCTGACAGCAGCTATGACAGATGGTCAGTAGAAACCAAACTCATGAATTAAATGGTGCTAAATGCTGCTTATAAATAAAGATCCTCTCACTGCGCTAACACCTTATGTTTGTTACTTTATCTATCTTTTGTATTTTGATTAATTATAGGCATCCAGTGAAATTTCCCCCTAATTCAACATGGTTGATTTCACACATGGTTAATTAGGAATGTGTATTTGACTTAAGATTTATCCCTAAAAATACACGTCACAGAGGGTACATTTGTTGCTCTTGGAGTAACAGTGTACCCATCAGCTCAGCTTGAGCCATCTTTATAAAAATAACAACAAATTGTTATACACAAGCTAAGAGCAACTGAAGTGAAATGTCTCCTGGCCAAGTGCAATATCTAAGCACACAAAACTGGAAAGAGAAGTTACAAAAATGAAAAAAAAGAAATAAAATTGAGATACACCTGAAGCTTGTTGCTGTTCTTTATAGTTACTCAGGATTAATTTTGGTGCATTTCTCCATCATCATGGAGGGGATAAACCAACCAATTTTCACACTATTGGTTACAACACCACCGAGCTTTCTAATCTCTGAGGTATTCTAATTGTCCCTCGCATTACTGGCTGCAAAGGAGTGACAAAAGCAGAAGCAACCTTCTTTTAACTACGGAACCAGCGGTATATTGCACACCACTATCCTCTTCTGGCAAAAATGCAGTATTTCATTGCTGGCATTGTCCTGGAAGTGAGACAAAAAAAATCCCATTTTTAGCATGCAAATTCAGCTCAATTCCCTATTTGGGTAATTTGGTTTCATTTGGCTCCCACTTCTCATCCTTTGCAATGTAAACAAAGCATTCAGTGCTCATCTGGGAGATGTTACCTGTGCTGTCCAGGGCACCACTTCAACTGCTGACTTGAATTTGCTTTACAAAACATGTAACAGGAAACACATTTCTCCAACAGACATCTTATTTATATTACAACTTTCAGCTTGTCCTTGGCGTGACATGGAAACAGCGCATGAAAGCTGACAAACAGAAGATGAATTTCACAGCTGGCATGTTTGGACTGAACAAGTCCAACTATCCCTTACTCACTGTCAACTTTAGGAGACTTCATCACTGCATCTCCCATGGATACTGAGTGCTCCATCGGAGCCATCACTCTTCTTTCAGCATCATTCCTCTGGCAAGCATGCCTTGGATTTCCATGCTGGGCTCCGCTGGCTAGCAAGTGGTAGTGATATTAATTTTCTCCTATCCTCTTTACTATCTGCGATGGGGTGTTGTTATCCCCACAGATTACACATTAGCTATTAAATAGTATTATGGACGGTGTACCAGTCAGTGCCAAAAGACATTTACTTGTGGGTGGTGGCATTTGCTAGGTGGGGGGGAAGATTCTCCAGCTACAAAACGAACAGATGCAGAAATCCTACAGAACCCTCTGAACACACAGCCAAATATTTGAACCTCAAAATTCACCTGGTATCTTGAGGCTAGAGGAAAAGAGAGATGCTTTAGAGTATGTCTGCAAACCTAAACATTCTCATCTCCTTTGCAGAACTCTCTCCTTTGCACATCTTTTCCTATTTGTTCAGGCAGCAGGTTGCCTTTAGAGGATCTTGGGATGTTTTAAGCCTCTGGACAATAAGCAGAGCCCAGGCAGGATTTTTCCGAAGGCTCAGACTTGGGACCTGGAGACTAATTACTTGGCACCTGCTGCTGCAAGGTGTGACTCCGGGTACCTGTTCTCAGGGACAGAGGTGGCTCCACAGATGCCCAGCAAATGCTCTTTCCCAAAGTCTCACTGGAGGCACAAGCATCCTGACTTGCCTTCTATGAGAAGAAATGGTATGTAAAAGCATACAGACAGCTCCCTTTCCCAGAGGATTTAAACACATTATTGCTTTATCTAACAAAGAAGGTATAAGAGATTATTAATTGTGACTACATAGTAGTATTCTTTTTTAACTGCACATTCTTTTTTCAACCTCACCCATGCAAGTCCCTGGGATTCAACTTGTGCTTAGGAAAGCCAGCACTCTTTGGGTTTCCTTGTAGGCAGTTTCTCTTTAAATTGAGGTGTTAAAGACAGCTCAAGAGTATAAATGTATCAGCTCTTACCTGGACACCTTCCAAGCTACAGCAACCCTGAACTCATTAGTCTTGTCTCTAGCTTCTGGTCAGTATGGTGATGAAAAGTCAGCACAAGGAAAAGGGACAAATATTTTTAAAAGATTTGGGTGCTGAGCTAAGAGAATTCAGAATTTCTTCCAAAATTAAAAAAGATGCAGATAATTTTCCAAGAATACAAACATTTCATTGGTACAATCCTACATATCACAAATGGTGTACATACAGCTCTGTTGCCCTGCCAAGACAGAAACCAGAGCAGGGAGTTTTTTTCTTCACTAGTTCCAGGTCTTCCTCCAGCTCATTCTGTGCCTGTGGAAAGGGAGCCCGAGAAGAAAGGAGTCTCTTTGCTTTTCCCCAGGAACACACTCATGGCTGCATAAATCCCACAGTCCTTTTTTTCATTCAAGTCACTGAAAGAAATCCCCAGCTTCTTTAGACCACAGGGCCTAGTCTGGCTCATACTTTGTAACTAAAGTCATTTTCTCAGGCAGTAGCCTCCAGTTGTTCCTCACTACCCTTTCGTAAACAAGTGTTTAATTTCTTCTTCCATTTAGCCTGAAAAGAAGATGCTTAGCGCTCTCATCAGGTCTGCGATTGTGTATTGATCAAGAGATGACTGATGCTTGTCATTGAAAATAACTAGAATAAATCTGCCATAATTTACATTTAGTATCTGGACAAAATTGTTTGTATGATTTATCTGTGTTACACCCCATGAAGACAGTAATTTTGTTATGCTTTATGACCTAGAAATTCCAGTTTTTATACTTACTGAGTTGTATACAGCAATACATGTGCCAAAGCTGGCCTTGTCCTTAACATCACCATCAACAGCTTTCTTTGAGAAATGCTGTCAACTGTATAGTTCAGAACATAATTATTGTTATGATGCCATCAGTTGAAATGGCTTGGCATTTCTGAGCCTCCTGTATAAAGGAATGTGCAGTCAGTAGTGCAAGCAGTGATGCCCTTTGCTCATGGGCTCTATCAGCCTATTGTGGGCTCTCTCAGGATGTATGGGTTTTCCATTTACATCCATGTGCTCATGTATAGACACATAAACACCCTAACCAGTCCTGAAACTCATATTTCCAATTAGAAATCTGATAGCAGAAGGTAGGGAATAGAAGTAGAAACTGCTCTAGTCTCACTGATGCTGTCAGAGGTCTGACTATCAGAGGCTTCATCATGTAACACACAAGAAACATAGACACCTGTATGTAT